AATTTAAAAAAGCTCCTTAGAATATTGCTACGGAGCTCTTCAGTAAGCGGTATACATACAGTCGAACCTCTATTATCTATATCCGTACTTTTCTGTGGTCCCAATTTTGTCATGAATGTTTATTAGCAATGGTCAAGATCCGTTGGCATATTATTTTTTAAAATTAAAGCGTTGAAAAGTGAAGTAAGGGCGAGTTTGTTTCGCTTTCAAGAAGCAAAAGCAGCGCTCGCACGCGTCGTAACTAATGAAGACAATTCGATTGAGGTCTGATTGGTTAAGAGTTGCTCTGTTGCTAAGTGAAAAGAAGCTCCCAACTCCCCACAGCTGTCCGATGAGCAAATTTTAGAGAGCGTTGTTGTACAGTCTTCTTTCCAAGATGAAAGTAGCGGTGATTAGGCAGATGAAGGCCAGGATAATAAAATTTTTTCGAACTCTGAAGCTAGTCGAGGTTCGACCATAAAAAACCAAGTGACACGACCGACAGTAAGACTTCGAAAAGTGAACGATTGAGAAACTGGAAAGTTAACAGTTTTTGGCCAGTATAAATAAATATAAACAGACACAAAAACAAAACAAAAAAAAACAAAGCGATAAGCAAACCCACCGAAAAAAGATAGTAAAGGAAAACAAAAGTAATGGAGAACTCCGACATCAAGCAGTTGTTACATTCTCGCAAAACGTAAAGCGATATTTTCTCTTTGAAAGTAGCAAATTGGTAAAGCAATATTGTAGTTCCCTCACATAATGCCTTTTAAAATAAAAAAGGGTCAAATTTTTACGATTTTTCCTCAGTCTAATACAATTTCAACAGAACATATCATTGGCTTTTCCGTCGAGTCAAATGTTTTGCGCCTCTTTCTTTCCCTTGCGCTAAAAGACGGTGAGTTGCGGGAATTATGGGTTTATTCAACCGTGGTTTGAGACAGTATATGCCCATTTCGCGTATTGTAGTTTGTGTTTCAACAGGCTTCATCTAGAAATAAGGCTCTTTCCAAATTTAGAAAATCTTTTAGCGACTGATTAGGAACTGAAATCCTAAAATTCATATTTGGAAAAAACCCAAAGGGAAAAATTAAAAACCAAAGCGAAAATCTTAGATGTTCCATGTAATACAGGTTTTTATATTACAAAAAGGCTAAGTTTTAGCGCCGTAAGAACGTTCTCGCTTCTTCACGAAACGGCAAAGTTTTCATGAAAAAAGCAAATTGTGAACAAAAACAACCAAAAATTATCTTTTTAGCTTAATTAACCATGAAGCTCGCTGGCATAGATTGTAAGACGACACAAACTCGTTTTCACAACCTATAAACCTAGATGTGGATCACGTTTGTTAGTACTTACCTCGAACAAGTTCCGCTGATTAGAGATCAATAGCTCTTTCAAGCAATGCGTGCAGCTCTTATTCTAGATCGTTCGCTGAAAAGCCATTTTCTAAGTTGAGCATAATTAACTCATTTAATTATGCTCAAAATATACCGCATTAGTTCCGTGCATTAAGGAGAGGCATTTTTCTGAAATATTTTTCCGCAATGTCCTTAGTGAGGCCAATTCACGACAAAAGTAAGGAACAACAAATTCCGAATCGTTCGGAAAGACGAGACAAATAATACTATACCCTGTTGAATGAATCAAATAGTCTTTAAATAGGTCCACTTGTGAAACAAATCATCTCCTGCAAACATAAATCACTATGCTTTGAAGTCGCCTTTGGGAGCACGATCGTATTCTATTCGATGCAATCTCGACCAATATAACCTATTCGGAGATGCTGACTTTTTTGCCAATATTTTGATCAAGTAAACCTAGTATTTTTTATAAACTATTGCAAAGCCATATTTACCTTAGAGGGACGTTTTTTTCCTACTCAATCCTCCTCAATATTTGATCCTGGAATTCAGTGCATGGATGGTCGTTTTAGTAACCAGAACTTTGTTAGGCAAGCGTAAGAGTAGCGGAAAAGCACTCACCTGCCTTTGTAAATGGTATTGGACTGGGTGCGAATGTTTTATATTTCTTTAATTTTTTTGTGAATAATATATATGTATATATATATATATATATATATATATTTGTATGTATATATACTAAATAAAACAAAAAAGTAAAAGTGAATAATCAATACGCTCACACTTTCTGGGGTTACTCCGATGATGAACTTTTCTGATAGCATAATCTTTAAGAGGTGTAATTTCGGGTTAACAATATCGAAAAGTCAGATAATTGTTTGCATGAGGTATTACTTACAACTTGAACGTAATTAGGGACTTTTTATTATCGGCAACTCATTTGTGAGTATTGTTAAGCAGAAGTGGTTCATTGCTTAACTGTATTGGTTTTACTGTATTTAATTACACTATAAAAATATGATCGACCTACCAGAACTTTTCCTGCCTCTTAAATATAATATCTTTGCTGCACGCTGTATACACTATTATAAAGAATTTATCACACGGGCTGCTGGCAATATCATCTAGGTAACCGTGTTTACGAACAAGATGTAAGCGATTTTACTTATACTTAACTAATTTCAGTGAGGTCAGAGTAATTATTGTTATTGTATTTAATGACAGGAAAGAACCCTTTCAAGAGACCTTTCCGCTTGTCGGGTTCATAATATAGGCACTCATCAAAGTCGGTTCTTTTTGAAATTGTTTTACAATCGTATCCGATTGAGATATTTCACGGAGATCCAGAAAAAGGACAGTTCGCATGGGGGATGCGAATTCTATTTTTGTGCCTTTTTTGCAAGTCAGCAAAAGACACATCAATCACTCTGGAATTTTTTTTTTTTTTAATGTGAAAAATGGTTTATTTCCTTGACACAAATTTGTGCCCGAATAGCTATTATGAAATAAAAAATCGCATTGGAGTTATGATGGGTTTCATAAACTGTAATAAAACAAGACACCAGTACAACTTGTTCAGTTAAGCTTAAGGGCATAAAGTCTCTTTCCGCAGAAGGTGTCTTAATTGTTCTGTGTTGATTTAAAGGAATAAAGTCTCTTTCTGCAAAAGGTTTCTCAACAGTTCCGTCTATGATAATGTTTTGTCTTTGCGGCTTGGGTGGAAAAGATCGCGCGAATGCAGTAAACCACGAAACAAAAGGGGCTTTGAGAACGTACCTCAGCAAGCCCTCAAAGTCTTTGTTATATTTACAGCTATGGATCAATAAACAGTAAATTGGGCTTTGAGAACATGCCTGAGAAACCCGTAAAACCTTTGTTTTAAAAATAGTTAGGGATCAATAAAAAATTAATTAAGCTTTAAGAACATGACAATAAAAGCTGTGTAAATGAATATTCCTTGTCATTTAAATATTGTTGAGGCAATGGATTATTTGTGCTTCATCCTAGTGCGTAGTTCTGCCAAATGCTCCTTTCCTCACACAAACAAGAGTTTTCTCGTGGTATCCAGCGAATATTAGCCCATGCTGTCGACCAATTAGAGCCCATTGTTACGGTGTAATCTAACCGACAGAAAAACACTACAATCTCACAAACTCAACTACTTTATTAAACTACGAGTAATGTTCTTAACAAGGAGCGACTCCTAAAAGCAGTACAATACTTATCGTCAATAAACGTAATCAAGCCCACCACAGTCTATATCTTAGCTCACCATGGACTCAATCTCGCTAATGTCAGTAACTCTCTCGGTATAGCCTCAAAACAGTCGTCGCTCCGACAAAAACAACCACTCTTACTACTACATAAGTGACTCTATATATATTCACAAAGTTTTCTGGAAAATTCCAGAAGCGTAAATAAGAACTATTTTAGTAGTATTACATAATAAGTGCGTGACTTGATGAAATGTTCTGAAAAGTTCTATGTTATGCAAGTCAGCATGACTCAGCAGCCTGGAGATAGCTAGAAGCTTATATTTACAACAATCACTCAGAACACCATGAATTTTGGAAGGTTATTGAGGTTTTACAGCTACATGTATCACAGTCACACCTCTTTGTGTACTTTATCCGACGAAATATCCCTCTCTTTGATGGATGGTCAAACAGATAATAAAAGGCATGTGGACAGACCTTGCTCATCATTTCAGTTAAAGCCATGGGTTGCGTAACAGGTCGTCTTTGTGTCAATTCAGCCCCAACACTGTCTTAAAAAGGTTTGTGTCCGAGGTTGAAATGTTTAAGTTACTTGTTGCGGTGGTGAAATACACATGAATTACAGAGATGCCACCAACGAAAATGAAGAAGAAACCTACAAAACGCCAAACCGACTTTTAGAGAAACCGTACCATGAATCAAACCATGCGTCCGCGCTAGGCGGCGTAGAAAAGTTGTATCGAACAGCCAAGAAGCATGGTATAACGCGTTCACAGGTTATCGCGTGGCTGCAACTTCAGTCCTGCTCGAGCACGATTTCGTCACAACAAAGTTTTTGTGAACGGATTAGATGATAAATGGCAGAAATTGCAAGCGGATTTGGTGGATCTTCAAAGCCTAAGCCATTGGAACCGCGGATACAAATACACACTTATTTGCATTGATATTTTATCCAAATCTGCCTAAGCGATTCCGTTGAAAACTAAGACAGGGTTAGAACTGGTCAAAGCTTTTATGAAGATCTTTTGAGGAGGTCGTCAGCTAGACGATACGGGTACAGAATTAAAAGACGAGACCTTTCAGAGACCTTTCTAAAGCAGCATCACGTTCACCATTTTGTCACGTATAACGTGATCAAGGCTCAATTTGTCGAGAGATTCAATCGTACCCTAAAGCAAATGATGTGGCAGATGTTTACCTCAAGCAATTCCTAACACTACCTGAATAAACTAAGTGATCTCGTCAATAACAATTTCAACCAAACATTTCATCCCGCGCTCGATTAAAACGAAACCCTCACAAGTAACAGTCCAGAATGCACAGCAAGTGTGGCGTACCGTATATGGTGAGCGTCCTTCTCCAGTTGAGTATGAATTCAAAGTTGGTGACCAAGTTAAAATCAGTAAGCACAAACACGTATCATACCTACCTATGACTTTCTATCCGTTTGCCATCATAATAACCCACGCAGCACCCTGCACATAATAGAAAGCAGCAATGCAACAAATTTTTTCGATGTTAGGCAAATCGCCGAAAAGCGTTTCTTGTTTCAGTAAAGGCAAGTTAAAAATGAGAAAAAAAACTGACCGAATACTCAGAGAAATCGATGGTGTCACTAATACAACCATTTCAAACTCGGTACCAAATGCGATTGGAAAGCTAATTTCGATTTTTTTCTTTAGTTTCCTCATAGGTATGTATCCCAAACCCCCTCAGCGCACCAGGTTTCTTCCAATACTTCGCGGATGTAACGTGCTGTAGGCCTCTTCTCCTCTGTATCCTCGAAACACAGGTTCATAATCTCATGCAACTACAGAACATGAACAAAACAAAAGAAAGAAAGTTATGTTTTTAATCAGGCAGCTTTTTGTGCATTGCATAAGATAACTGTATCCTTACTTACAGCTTTATATAAAGCAGTGACAATTTTTTAGAGGTCAAGAGAAGAGTTACAATTTTACCATGAGACTGATGGCGAAACTTACGATAACAACGCCCTGGCAAGATAATTCGACGAAATACACCGGTGTGGTCTGGAATACTTGTAAGGGTCATTTTGTTTCGTAATCTTGCTGCACCGTAGTTAATTAACTATTACTGAATATATGAAAAATAGATGTCAGCTTTCTTTTGTGTCCACTAAAGCTAAGGCAACCAATTAAAAGATGGTAAACAATCTACATGCGGTTCTTAATCTTGACGGTTTTTCTTTAACCAGGGATCAGTAATTGCAAATCAACCAAGCTGTTTCTAGGTCGTCATAAGTACCAACTGACACTGACTTCATAGTAATTACCTTAACGTATTCACTGGAGCCATGGCAGTGTCCTAGTAAGGTTGCTAGTAAATGTCCGAACTGCTTTATGTCGTGGCTATAGCAACTCTGTTCGTCGGCTGCCGAGTTTGTGAACGCACCTGCATCATCTGCTTTAGACGCTTGAGAAAATCCACCCAGAACGGCTTTGATCGGAGGTACCTGTAAAACGTGTCGATCTTGTCAAATTCGCTTCGTAGACCTCGTTCATGATGGCGGGATTATCGTCAATCTTTTATTTGCCCGCTAGAAAGCCAACTTGGTCACGCTCTTGGGTGAAATTGTTATTTCGTTACACTAGCTAACTACACTAATTACACTAACTACAAGAACACTAATTTTAGATAAATATCAAATGAGGCCCGACATGCATGGATGAGGTGTACAGAAACGATTTTAAAACTTTCTCAAGTGAAACCCATTGCAAATGGTCTCGTGCATTAAGAGACACGATTTTTACTTTCTTCTACATTTAATCTGTTATTGCTCATTAGATCTATCGTAAGAGACTTTAGGCGAGACTAAGATAATTTGGCGGCTATCAATGGACTGCGAAAGTTTTCAGGCTCTAAAACATCAGTTATCAACTTACTCTTGGACAATGCCTGATCAAAATGTTGCCAGTTGTGATGTTGTTATGAGCTATTCCATGATCCAGAAGATGTTCTATGGCGGTGATGACGTCACAAACTACAGCGCATACCGCGTCGAAGTTGATAACAATTCCTTTCTCCGAAAGAAAATCTTCCAAAGTGGAGCTCGACTCAAAATCGTAACAAATGAGCCTTAACAAAATTCAGAAGGAAATGAAGAGCTAATTAAGAGGAGAACGTAAAGTAAAAATTATGTGATAAATCAGCACTTACAATGTCAATAACGTTCCTTACGTACAGTAAGGAAATGTAGTACATAAAACAGTGAACTTTAAATTACAAAATGAAAATTTGACTAAATTAAAATAATTCAAAGTTTCCGTCGGCCATGTCCATGTTCTTAGTTCAGTTTAACGAGACAACTACAGTTTAAATGACCGTTACAGAGTTAGGCCAATGATAACTTACCAACTACTTCCTTGTATGCCATGAATCTTCTTCTTGCCATGTTCAATACTCTGTTCAGACGCTGAAAATCAACAACAGCAGCAGTATAATGAAAAAATGACTTAGAAATTTAGCAGCCCACTGTTACCCGAAACAAAACAAGGTATTTACTTCTACTATATTAGCCCCTTGCCTCTCTTTCGATATAGTTTCTCCGCATTTTGGAGTAAATAAAAAAGCACCATAAGCCTTAAATATGTCAACCTGCTAGTTCCAACTTCAAAATCAGCCCTAAAATTAATCACGTGTGATCAGCTTTTTCCAGGAAAAGCTTGTAGTGCGCGGAAAGATTGAAGACTAAAAAAAGCCATGCCATTATTGGCACCTGACTACTCCGTTACACCTTTCCTTCCACCCCTTGCTACTTAGAATGTATCAGCACGCCGTTCGATTGTATCTGCCTGTTAAGACACGTGACTTAGCTACTATACTGAAGATCATCAGATCCATTTCGATTATTTCAATTCAAAACCTCGTCAACTAAGTTTACTCCGTTCATGAATGGCACTCTTGTTTTGAGCGAGAAACTATAGCCTTTCAGAGCTTCTCCTGTTTTGCTGTGGATTTTGGTTTTTCGCGTTTTTTGCTGAGTCTCTGAAATGAGTGTATTTTCTTAAACATGTGCAGAAATGTCGGATGCATTTTTAGTAAAGATGGTCACTTACCTTTAGAGTGCCAGCGATAATGAAGAAGATTGTCTTGCGGGTCTTCATTACTAGACAGACCTTGAACTATATCGATCTCTCGAGTCCAGTCTTCCTTCATTTCCTTTCCGAAGTACTTCAGTAATACCATACCAAGTACTCCTTCTTCCTCGCACCAAGCTGTGACGTAACCCTACATCGCAAGGAGACAGCAAGGGGACACAATTTCCTCGTTTGCAATATCGTTTTGCGTTTGCATAATAGGACCATTCATAGGAGCACTTACGGAAATATCGGTCGATGTATTCATGGTTGGTTTATAATGACAAGGCTACATGTATGTTTGAAACCTACCTTTAACTTACTTCAGTAGGTATCTATCGAAAAGTTCAGATATATATTTTTAAAGGTTCTTACCGTTGAACGCTTTCCTGTAGTATCTTCTTGAAAGATATCCACTACTTCGATCAGCTTTAACTTAGTCTTCACTTGTTTACTTTGCTGTTCCTGTTTTTCCACAATTTTTTTAACCGGCCGGGGACTGGATTCAGCAATGGAGACTAAAGTGTTTTCAGCATTTGTTCTCAGGTAGTCCATAGATTGATCTAGAAATAGAAAGGAAAAGATAACACGTTAACGGAGTTCGTAGCCAACTTGGAAAAAAGGTTCAGATAAGGAACCATGACAACTTCATAATGGGCTCTCAGCTCTCTGAGAGGTCTTTTTAAATATGCAACTTGTTATAACTTTCAAAGTGTATACTCTACTGAAAGTTGTACATTTGGAAAATATTAAGATGCAAAAAGAAAAGTGCATTTTTTCAAAGAAATCATCGCCTACTAAGTCCATGGAAAATGTAACAACAATTGAATATAAAAAAGTGAATCTTGTCATTTTTCGACCCACCTCCAGCGCGACTATTCAAAGACTTCATAACCATGCCAGTAACATTTTTCCTCTTTCTGGCTAAGCTTCGTTTCGTTCTCTCGGTAGAAAATGTATAAAGGATTGGATTAAGGGAAGAGTTGAGCGGAAGAACAAACACTGCGATCCACACGAAGGCAATTTTGTCCGGATCGTAGAAATTTCCTGTCAGGGACAAAATGCTGATAATTATTATAGGCATCCAGCAGCAGAAGTCGGTCATCACAATACAAATAAGTCTCTTGGCCATTGCAGATTCTTTGTTCATACTCGTTGATCGAACAGCGCGGGCAGAGCGCTTGACCGTCCAAAACATTAAGATATACGCCACCAAGATAAACGTGAACGAAACGAAGTTTAAACCGATGAAAAAAGCGGCGGAATATTCCCAGCCGGCAGGGGTTCCTTCCGATAGCTGAAGAGGAAGGCAAACAGCTGAGCGACTGTAAAAACCGAAATCACCACTTTTATCGTAAAAATAGTCTATTCCGGTGATTGGTATCACGGAGATGACTACGCCAAGTATCCACACGGCTGCGCAGGTGAATACGGCAGACTTGTATGTAAGACGCTTAAACTTGAAAGGGAAGATGATGCAAATAAATCTGTCGATGGTGATGACTGTTAAAATCAGCACTGATACCTCGCTTGAGAGCATGGATAGGACTCCAATAACTTGACAGCCTATACCAGCCCTCCATTTTGTGTCATGCTTAAAATATTCACCCTGCCATCTCGCGTCCACAATTGCAATTGTCAAAAGATAGACACCCATAAACATGTCGGCTACGGCAAGATTTGTTAGCAAGAATGAATGAACCCTGTTCTCTTCTTTATCAATTATTCGCCATATTATGACAAGAAGGTTGCCGAGGAAGGCGAGGATTCCAAGAATCCAAATGCAGATCTGAAGCGTTTTGTTCTTCATCAGGTCGTCACAGCTGGAGAACTCATCAGTAGGAGAATCACAAGTAATTCCTTCCACGGATTTCTCAGCGTAACAACAAAGGATGAAACGATCTAGTTTCCTGTTGGGATTTTTCAAGACGAAAACACTTTACATCTGAACTACAATGTCATCAATCAAATAAGAAATGATACGTGGGATAATATATATACACATATATTGTGTCGACTGACAAGTTCTATCATTATGAAGTATCCATTTTAGATAGACAAAAAAACGTAGCTATTAATATATCAATTGTAAAATACTCACAGATACTTAAGGCTAGTCAGCTCGTTGAATGCATCTGTAGGTACGTTAGCTAATCTATTGTTGTCCAAGTACCTGTTTTTATCAAGCAAGAAGAACACTTGATTGACCTGTTCAAAAGTTTTTATTTGAAGTTGAATATCTGCACACAGGCTTGATGAAATGGAGAAGAGTAATACTTAATCACTGCACAAAGAATGGTCTTAAGCTATTTGGAAAACGAATTGTCCACACTTAAGCTGACGAACAAGGGTAAAGTAAAGTAAAAGCGTTTGGTAGCTAATACGTCCTTTGGTTCAATCTCAGACTGATCGAGCATTGTAATTTACTTCTCTTTTACCACTGACCTCATTTATTCTACGGACATTACACCTACACCGTACTTCAGCGGAGATAAATCACCACAGAGAGACTCCCTCAAGGCTGAAAATTCCAACTACTTACAAATATTTCAGTGCACTGAGCCCTTGAAGCGTTTCCTTTGTCACTGTTTTCAGCTCATTGCTGCTTAGATTTCTGTCGAATGAGAGACGTTAAACAAAATCTCAACACGATTTATAGGCGAATTTACACCCTCTTCACGTGTATCTCAATGTCACTTTTCAGCCTACTTTAAACAATGAGCACAATCAAAATTCAATTAAGAAAACTATCATGGTTTGAACAAGAAGTTATCAAATTTTCCCTTTACAGCAGATTAAGTAATTTGAGAAGACATTAATTTGCTCATTTCAGCACTCACAAGACTTCCAACTTGGAGAGATCTTTGAACAAGCCATTTGGCAATGCTGTCAGCTTGTTTTCCTGAAGGTACCTTATAAAAATTAGAAATCCATTATTACATTTCGAATATGTCTTATAAAGCATTAGGTTAGACATATGGCTTCACTGCGTAACTTAACTCCTCATCCTAACCCTTCGGTTTGTTTTGAATAGCAATGGTATGACTTTGGCGATTGGCTTAGACCAAAAGAGATCCTTTTACTTACAAATGAGTCATGTTGCTTTTGTTGCCAAAAACGCCATACTGCAAATTCGTCAGTTGGTTTGCGCGTAAACCCCTAAAAACAAAGGCGAAATAATGCTTTGAAAGTTTTCAATCTTTGTCAGCTTTCAAATGTTACTGAAAATGAGTACTTACAAAACATTCAAATTTGACAATGCATCAAACACCCCACTTCTGATACTGCTAAGAAGGTTACTTCCTAAGTCACTGAAATAAAATAGACATTTTCTTGAGCTCAGTCAATGAAGATCTTGTCGATCGTCGTTTCATGATGTTATGCAATGTGAAAGAATGAGATTATATTTGGAGATACTCACAGGACTTTTAGATTAGGGAGCTCGCTGAGTGCTCCAATAGGAAGAATTCGAAGAAAGTTAGAATTCAGTCTCCTGCAGAGAACACAAGAAAGCCTTTGAGTAAGATTCTAACAGTTCCTTTCAACAAATCTAAGCGATAATGCGAGACGGATGCATTGAGAAGATGTCGTCGTCAGCCCTCTCCCAAACGCTTACTACGTTACCCTGGCTATCCATTTCTCCTAGTCACACAAGCAACCACACCAGCCTGATCTGGTCGTTTGAGATTCCTTCAGGATGATGGTTCGAATGAAGCAATGGGGAGGAATGTCCCTATCGGCCCTGATAACATTTGAGGTGAGAAAGATGACAAGTTCGCCAGCAAATATACTGTTGAGGATTCTCTGGAATGATCTAATTGATATTTATTAATCTATAATTGCCATCCAATACTCACAGTGTAGTAACAGAAGATACGTTGTGAAAACATTCTTCATCTAAGTGGAGCAGATTATTGAAGCTAAGGTCACTGTTTCAAAGAGAACACGTAACTTATTAATTTGATATCTCTAAAATGTATGGTTTTTTCGAGGAGTATTATTCAACTTGTTATCGATGATCTTTCAAGATATCGAATGCAGCCAGAAACCTGGAGAGTCCTACTCTAATTGTGCTCTCCATACTTGCAGAATAAATTTCGTAGACACGTATTGTGCACTGTAAAATACATTATTTTTGTCTTCGCTAACCCTAAGATAGCGTGAAGAATCAGAGGGTTGGTCAAATATACATACATCTATTTGACATCTTAAAGGTTTTCGCATTTCAAGGAAAACCTAACACTACCACTTATAAAAACAGAGAATATGGCGTTCAACTCACATATACTCGAGTATTGTAAGGTCTGAAAACTCCTTCTCGTGAAGTTGCGAGATCCGATTTTGACGAAAAACCCTGGTAAATATGATATTATTAGTGACACATTATTTTGTACGGTGAAAAATATGGCCTTTATAAGGAATCACCTAAACTTGAACTAAAGTAACTAAAAAAGGAAACCTTATCAGCAGGCTACAATTCACTAAATAATATCGAAAGAGGAAGAAAAATCCCTCGAAAAAATCTTCCTAACCAAAATCATCAATGAACGGCTTAACGTGTGCACGTAAGTAATGTAGAGAGTTTACGCATGACGTTTACAGCTTCAATTTCCTCAAATTCTGAAATGAACACAGCAGCAGGATCGTTTTTTGTGTAATAACCTTCTCTGAACATAAATCTATTCCTCCACATCAAAATATTTCCACCTCAGAATGCAAACGGCTGGAAAAAGGCGCTAATGAGTTCAATATTCCTTTTGCCGTTTGACGGTTGCCGTAAACATCATGCCAAATCGCTTTATTTTGTTCAGTGTATGTAAGCAGAAAGACTTGGTAATTGTAAGCATAATGAGTAGTGATAATGATGATAAGCAGGGAAATGGTTAAACATACACTGCTCCAGTATTTGAGGGAAGATTACTCGGTATAGCCAGCAACTTTTCTCCAATAACCAGAATCCTCTTGTCGTATACTTCACCAAACTCCTTACACTCGCAGCTTGATGGGCACTCTAAAAACGATTTTCGACATTCAGTTACTATCTAACATCATCCTTCAATCCTTTCATCATTTGGATAAAAACTGGAAAAAATTATTTCAAACAGTCAGTTTATCGATGAAGATTCCATTACCTCGATGAAGTGAGCAAGACGATCCTTCCCAATCTTGAGCTGAAAAATGGAAAACTTAGATATAGCCACTAATTTATAATTAAGGCATTAATAACGACTAGCCCTAATGGCTTTGTCGCAGCCATTGATATTATCCTTCCTTTTGCGGTTCAAAACTTTTTTTCCCCCAGGTGGAATCTCAAACTCCGAAATTGTGACATCTATCACAAACAAGCACAGATTTTGACATACGATTTCCTCAATTTAGCACCATTAATTCTAATGCAGAGAAGTGGGAGAAAAATCAAACATCGTCAAAGGTACTCCACTACGCATTTCAGTTGGCATTTTACCTTTGTTTGGAGGAATGATTGAATACTGCTCCTCATCAAACTCTCTGCCGCGAGCTAATAGACAAAGTTTCATATTTCACCGAAATTAAGCCTACTTCAACCTCAAGTTACATTGATTTGGTCATCCACTGGATTTTTATCTTTTAATTCCAGAACTTTTAATTCCATTTCACTGAGGCTTTTGCATATAAAACAGGTCGATATATTTTCGAAATTTAAAATTATTGAGATATAACATACTTCTAATAGAATGATAAAAGGCCTTGAATCTTGTCATTCGCAAACCCTCAATACAGCGGAGAACAATTGTGAAATGATTTGATGAGGAAATGACAACCGGAGGATGCATATAGCCGCAAAATTTTCCTATCGCGGTCGCAGATAAATCACGTCCATCAAAGATTTCAAGGAAACACGTCTCGCATCTGGGGTGGTTCGCGAGTAAAAACTCTTGGAATTCCAAACGAATGATGTGGTTTTTCTGGACGGTGATGTGCCATTTGCAAGAGGTATCATCTGGAAGATTTCCGGGATATGAAGGAGAGAAGAAATATCCTATTTCGTTGGTTAAGTTCTCGCTGCAAGCTGAAAGAGAAACTACAGATGAAGGCAAAAATTTTAAGAATTGTCTGCCTTTACAACCTGACCGGTGTTACCAGACACGAAGTACATGTACAGTGCCTCATGAGCGCAAATGACAGCGGCAGCATCGTCCTAGAGTTGCGCGATAACAATTTCAATTGCTTCGAAAACACAAGTGTCTCAAAGTTTAGTGGCAATGACGCCCTTACGTAATTTCATTTAAAAAAAATTCTTCCCCCTTCTATCTCATCACATTGTTATACTCCACCTTTTTTCGCCGACAGTGGCTTCACTGTGCAATTTATTCGTAATTTCATTAAAAAAAAATTCTTCCCCCTTCTATCTCATCACATTGTTATACTCCACCTTTTTTCGCCGACAGTGGCTTCACTGTGCAATTTATTCCCTCGTCGATGTACAGCCCTGTCAACGCTATCAAGTCTTCTCTCCTCTCCATTTCCGCTTTTATAAGCACCTTTCTCGGTAATGAAACAATTTCTACAATTAATTACTAATCTCATCGCAGTTTCTAGTGCCTGAAGGCTTTATTAGTGCGCTTACGATTTTGGTGGTGCGGGGATGGGATAAGTATGATAGATTAAGGTTCGCGTGGCAACTCAGAAAAAGTTTCCACCAAATGTAAACGATATGTCCGCACAGTTTTATGGACGGCTTGTTTTGATGTAACTTATTGTACTAACATCGAAAAGCTGACGGTTTTATCCAATCGACGAAAGCAAAGAATAAGTAGGTCTACTTCGTTTGAGCAAATCGAAGAAAAGGTGAAGAAGCACAATTCTATACCTGAAAGTCTGACATGGAGCTGAGCTGAACCTGACCATAAACCCAGTCCCCCCGGGTGACGCCTTTTGAGATCCAAATAGGTATTTCACGAGACGTTTTTGCCTTCCGGTAAACTGTCAATGCTTTCTCCCCAGGTCCTTGCAGCATGTAACGAAACCGTAGACATCGACTCTTGCCATCATGCGACGCATCGTAAAGAGGACTCATAAAAAGAGCACTTTGATTGACGTGGGCCGTAATGCCATCTGCCACAAGTCTGCCAACTGAGAACATATTGAGTTCAGTTCTATTAGCAAAAAGAACTTTATAACATTCATTCATCAGTAACCATAAGTTTGATCACAGACCAAGAGCTATGATCTCGCCGAACGATTGCCAAAATAATGAAAACCTCTAAACGAAAATCGACTTGCCCGTACCGAGACCTCCGCCGTTTCAGAGCATACCCACACAACCGGACACAAGCCACTCTGGAACGAATTAAAGTTTATTGATCGTGACCCTCAATACTACATGCGCAGGGTCAAAGAGGCAATTCATATAAGACTTCACCCTAACAATATCAACAGGGATAGTGGAATAGAAATTCCACAAGCGTGGATGCCCACAATCAAAAAACACAACAACAGGAGAGCCGTGCGACAGCGCACCGCCGAGGGAGTAAATCACTGAGTGAACAGCAAGGATCGAAATGCACCAATCAGAGCTGAAGAAGACTGGCAGTATGCAGTCGAAACGTCGCGATCTACTTCACATGTGAGTTCATCGTGAGACAAACGAAAAAACTTAGCTTTTATTGTTATTTTTTATTACGATGAATAACCACAACCTTTTCTACGAAACCATACCATTTTCATAACGAAAAGACATACCTTACTTATTTAACAGCATTAACAGCATCCTATTAATTACAAGGTAGGATTAAGCTTTACAGATAATTTCTGCTCATAACAGAACACTTGCCTTTTCTGTCCTTGCATGTTCTGGAGTCGTTAACCTCAACTTCTCCAGTTATCTTATCCCTGACTGTTTCCCAGGATTTGGAGTCTCCTGCTTCAGTTCCACAGCCATATGACATGCGCAGAATCTCTTTTATTGGGACAGGGTAACTCCATATATTGAGGCCACTCAGTTTGCCAAGAACAGCTGAGTCACTGTTGTTCGTTTTCCTGAAGCCAACTCTCATGGTTCCTGCAGTTATACGAAACACAAATTGCTTTGAATATATTTTATATGATAGCTAAAAATAATTCAAGATTTTTTTCTCTGCCATAACTAGCTAATTATTGCTGGCTACCTTCCGTTACAGGTTTTTGATAAAATATCTACATTTTTTCAATTAACAAAGTGACATACTTGAAATACATTGCTACCAAACGCCTAAATCGAATAGGGTCTCGTCTAATTATATTTCCTATTATCCCAAAAGAATGTAATCAAACAGATACAGTCCAAAACACTCCACCTTCCAGGCTGTTGCTACTTGGCTTCTGCTCAAGAACGTGTAATATGCATCAGAATATGCTTTATATCTAACGCCTTCCCAATCAACTTGAAATATTTAATTTTTTTTCGCTTTTTCTTTGGTTTTTGTTTTTTAGTTGTTGTCCATCTGTGAGAATAGTTTCTTTTCCTGTTATTACCAGCCGTCCAAAATTCAAAATTGGGTCTTCTCCTATGAGCTTCCTTAAAATTCCTGTGACCATCTTTGAATACAGCTAGTAGTCCGATGTTGCCATCCAATAGCACACACACGTAGTGCCAAGAATCATCTGTCACGCCCATTAAATATTGACTGTGTATGAAAAGTAATGAAAAAAAGAGTTCTAATTGAAGCAGAAATATCTTTTAAGAAAAAAAAAAACAATGTATACAGAAAGACGTTATAGATCTTTTCACGAGCTTTGAACTAAGAATGGAAGGAAACGTTCATAACAAGGCAAACTCTATCTGTCTCTTCTTCACAATCGAGCTCAAAAGTTACCTTTTTCTTTTCCAAAATGATTCATATCTCTATCATCGTTGAATTAATAATGTTTAAAAATCATAAGTTCCCCTGTTTTGAAATTTCGAAGGGTAACATAACTGTTCGAAATTTCTCTGCAAATACTCTGGAAAGCTAACCGTGAATGCTGTGATCTTGGAAAACGCCCAGTAACCCATCCACACACGCCCGAATGGTGGGGGTCATATATATGGATCCCAGAAAAAGCTTCAGCTCTGGCTATTTCATATTTTCATCTTAAGATTAAGTAGTATTTTTTGCGTAACCCAGGTTCAAATCATGACTTAATAACACATTTTCAAAAATAAAGCAGAAAATAAAGCAGAAAAAAAAAACTTTTCGATACCTTCTATAGCTTCCCAATAGAATATCAAAGGTGTTGTTACCACAATAGAGCCCAAATATTAGCGTTTCATTTTGATCTCCCGATGCCTCAGTTCTATATTCGATAAAGAAACCAACATTTGACGTCTTTAACCAAAAGCAGATGGTGGATCCCCCTTTCGCCTGTCGAATGTCTGAGAATGAGACATAGCCACGGCTACTGTCGGGGAGGTGGATCTCGTAGTTTTGATCGCTGATAATACCTAAAGCAGAAATATAACATTAAAAATGCACCTTCCTTCAGTCGTCAATCTCTGTAAGAGGCTATTAAGCTTGTTCCAGGGGTTAAGTTGGTAAAACAGACCGAAAGCGACAAAAAAAGGTGAGAGAGGTCGGGGCAAAAAAAAAAAAAAACAATGAATGACACAATATGCCAAAACAACCAACCTTCATCATCGGCGTCACTACCTATATTGTCAAGATCTCTGTATTTCATTCTTTTCCAACCCCGCGCAATGTTCCATCCGCACGACTCCACTGATGTCTCGCACGGACGATCATCTAACAAAAGTTAAAGAGGAAGGTTTACTAATAGTAGTGGTAGTTGTTGTAGTAGGAGCAGTAGTAGCAGTAAGGAAAAAAAAGTCGCAGAGGTAGCAGTAGTAGAAGTAATTGAAGTAGCAGTAGTAGAAGTAGTAGTAGTAGTAGTAGTAGTAGCAGTAGCAGTAGCAGTAGCAGTAGCAGTAGCAGTAGCAGCAGCAGCAGCAGCAGCAGTAGTAGTAGTAGTAGTAGTAGTAGTAGTAGTAGTAATAGTAGAAGTA